TGAGAGCTGTTGCCGCCTCAGTTTTGCATGTTTTGCGCACCAACGAGTCAAGGGCTCCAGTCACCTTTCTTCTTCCTCGGAATCTACAAGATGGAAAGCATTCCCATTTCTTTGTCAAAATTTCGTATTCCAGTTAGAGAAGTTAATACGACAATTCATGATTAGACAAGTGTAAAGAATAGTTACCCTTCCGTAGGTATAAAAAAGTTTTATTTGTACTTTATCGTTGTCATCTTACAAGTCATGCCAACAAAATTTAAAATAATTGTAAACCACTGAGCATTGGCCTAGGAGCCACCAAAAGAGGTATCACCCGCAACGAAAAAAATTAAAAGAAAATAGCAGAGCACTGAGATTTGATCGGTTAGATCTGTATACCTGCTAGTTCTTTTCACATTTTCTTTAGACTCTCCTCCATGTGCAATATGATAGATTAAGCTATACAAATATTATCATTGTTATTTTTTTTTAAAATAATTGTGCAACGTCAACCATAATTCATTTGGATTTTCTCAATCAACAAATAGTTTAACTCCTGATTGTGCGTCACTAGGCTGCGAACGATTGTTTAAGAATATAAATGAAATGGGCTTGGGCTGCTTTTCATAATTCATATTTGCTGCAGCATGAAATTTGCACTCACATAAGCTAGCTCACATATCTATGTTCAGAAAACAAGTATAAACCATTGAGTAACTAATAGGTTATTGTATTTGATTGAAACAAATATCTACTAAAAAAAAAAAAGAAATAGGCCCATATTTATGGAACTTAGTGAGTAATAGAGATATACATAAATATTAATGAGTATCTTTATAATTACCTCACCCAAACCACATAATTTATACAAATCATACCACACAAAATGTTGACACTGCATTGTCTCAATTATAGGACTTTATTAACCATTATATTACAAAATATCCTTCATACTTCACAAACTATTAACACTATATTCACCCAACCAATTTACCGCACTATTATTTTATAATTCAAGCCAAACTTATACCACCTATATAATTCTTTATACTATAACAAATATACAATAACTAAAACTTGTGCAACTTAACACGGGAAATATTCGCCCTCCTGCGCAACGCGCAGGCCGTGCCAACTAGTATATATATCTTACATATATAAAGCGTGGATAGGCTTGTGAACAGTGAAAAATGAGCCGGTTATCGCGTGATTCTTGTGGCTTTGAGGGGCTCTTTGGTCTTTTCCCATTTAGTGGCAATGCTTTTATCCGCTGGCTCTCTTGCATTGTAGCTTTGCTGGCCATTTTGCTTTTGTCTGCTGACTCTCCTCAATTGTAGCTTTGCTTTGTCCGCGTGGCTCTCCATTTTGATAGTCAGCAATTACTATTAGTTAGTGGGCGGTTGGTTTGGTCTTTTGCTGATGGGTGGCAGTGCATTTTGCTTTTGTCTGCTGGCTCTCTTGCATTGTAGCTTTGCTGGGCATTTTGCTTTTGTCTGCTGACTCTCCTCAATTGTAGCTTTGCTTTGTCCATGTGGCTCTCCATTTTGATAGTCAGCAATTACTATTAGTTAGTGGGCGGTTGGTCGGTCAGCTATATCCTTTTTTTTCTCCTAGCTTTTTTTCTTCTTCTTAGGTTCTGTTCTTCTTCTTAGTTTTGTTTAGCAGCTTAAGAAATGCCGTGGAAAGTTTTCTAAAGTTTCCTATTGACGCTTTATATATGTAAGATTTCATCTCACGTGTATGTTTGGTTTCCCAATCTCTTGTGTAATTACAGTTGCTTTGGCTCCCCAGGCTTCGCTGGAAATTCATTTTTGTTGCTGTGGTTCTTTTGTATGGTTCATTTTAGACGTTTGTTTGGTTTCCGCTTCAGCTGTGTATAATATGCTTTCAGAATGGGTCGAAATAGAGTATATGGAAGTTTGGAAGAGGCTCGTGCTGAGAAAAATCGAAGGAGCCGCGAGCAACGTGCTGCTGCTCGGCGTGAGACAAAGAATGATGCGCCATTAGGAGTGTGTACATTAGCTGTCACAGCTTTTAATATACATGACTCAAATGCTGTGAATCAGCCAAATATGGGTGTCATTGAATCTTCATTGGGTTCAGGCTCAATATTGCCATTTGCAGAGAACAATGCAGAGCACCTTCAAGCTGTATGTCTGTGCTTATTTTGAGCATGTCTCATGCAATATAAATTGTTGTTTAAATTTTTTGGAATAAATGTTAAATTATTTATGTTAACAGTGGTTTCGCCTAAGCATGCACTTTGGTAAAACAAACGAGTTTGACTTAGTTAAGCATACTAAACTCACAATCTTTAACTATGCTTTGGGTGTTTTAAAGGAAAATCAAGGAGATGTATCTAGGTCTACTGGTAATGGTGCTCGCGAGGTTCCGACAACTAATTCAGATGCCGGTGAATCATCTTTGCATAGGCGACGTCAACGTACAAGACGTTCTATGACTAATCCATTGAACACAATAATTACAGAGCCTGCAGTATTGCTCAGTAATGCAGAGCAATTTCCAACCGTATGTTTGTGCTTATTTTGAGCATCTTTCATGCAATAAGATTGTTGTTTAGACCCCTTGCAATAAATGTTAGACTACTTATATTACCGGTGGTTTTATCTAAGCATGTACTACGGCTAGACTAACCAGTGGGTGAGATATTAATTTTTGTCTATTATAAGTCAGATTGGCTGATTTAGGCACACTGAATTCATCGTCCTTAAGTATGCTTTGGCTGGTTTGCAGGAAAATGAAGAAAATGTCTGTGCGTCTATTGCTGATGGTGCTAACGAGGTTTCATCAACTAATTTAGATGTTGGTGAACCATCATTGCGTAGGCAACGTCGGTCTAGAAAACCAGCTATAACTGATCCATTAGCTACAATAGCTACAGAACCTGCTGTATTGCCTGATGTTCCAAGTTGTCCGTATTGTCATGCAAAACGATTTCATCAGGAACCGCCTGGTTTTTGCTGTGCCTCCGGTGAGGTACAACTATTATCTACTGAGATGCCGAGAGAACTTATGCTATTATATATAGAAGACTCTGATGAGGCTGCTGAGTTTCGCAGATGTGTTAGAAGCTATAATAACATGTTTGCATTCACTTCGATTGGTATCCATCCTGATAAATCTTTGGCTGCAAACTACAATGGAGTTTATACATTTCGAATCCAGGGACAAATGTATCATTATATTAATCCACTTATTCCAGAGAATGGTGAGAAGCCACGGAACTTGCAACTTTACTTTGTTGACACTGACCATGAAACAACGCAGCGGCTCTCAATCTCAAGTAGATTTCAAGAAACACTGGTGACTAAGCTTGAGAAAATCTTAAAGATTAATCCTTACTCTGCATTTTTCCGAGGATTACAAGATTTGCCAGGCATAGATGATTATAAGATTGTACTTGACACCACGCCTGCTGTAGATCAACGAGTTTTCAATAAACCTACTGTGTCGCAAGTAGGAGCTGTTTGGACCGAGAGCACAAATTCTGAACATGTCAACTCTAAACACATACAAATTTATGGAAAGAATGGTCAAACGCAGATTGTCAAGCATTATTTTGCTTGTCATGATTCGTTGCAATACCCTCTTATCTTTGCAAATGGAGAGCCAGGTTGGCATCCAGGGATTGAAAAAATCCGTCATCCAAATAAGAGCAACATTACATCAGTGACTTGTGAGGGAGAAACTATTATAGCTACAACTACAGCAACGATGGCAACTGATATCATTGATGCAGAAAATAGAGGTATTGCGAATAATCGTTTTTATATACCATCGTTAACCTATGACTATTATATTTCCTTATGATATATACTAATCTTACGTAATCTATTATCTTTATCAATAGATAATATAAGTATCATTATCTGTTTGTTTCAGCTATTAACCAAAGAAAAAGAAAGCGCAACACAGTTTCATGTCGTGAGTATTATTGCTACAAATTGCAGATCCGAGATGCTGACCGGTCAATGTTATTACATATAGGGAGATTACTACAGCAATATGTAGTCGATGTCTATGTCAAGATTGAGTCAATCAGATTAGATTTCCACAGAGGAAGAAGCAAACAGGCTCAACTTCGGACAGAGATTTATCAAGGCATAGTTGATAGTATTTCTAGCGGTGAATCATCATCATCAAGTATTGGTAAACGTATTTTTCTACCAGCTTCGTTCATTGGTGGCCCTCGAGATATGCGACGACGATATATGGATGCTATGTCTTTGGTTCAAAGATATGGAAAACCGGATATCTTTTTGACGATGACCTGCAACAAGAATTGGCCTGAGATTAAAAAAATGCTTTTGCCAACTGATAAAGTTGAGAATAGACCAGATTTAATATCTCGAGTTTTTCGTGCAAAGCTTCAACAACTGAAAGATGAACTTCTGAAAAAGAACATATTTGGAAAAGTAGCAGCTTATACATATGTGATTGAGTTCCAGAAAAGAGGTTTGCCTCATGCTCATTTCTTGATAATTCTGAAACAAGGATGGAAGATGTACTCTCCTGAATCATACGATCGCATAGTGTGTGCTGAGTTGCCAGATGCTAGGCAGCATCCTTATCTTTATGAACTCGTTGTCAAACATATGATGCATGGTCCTTGTGGTGCTATGAATCCAAGTTGCCCATGCATGAAACAACACATTGGATGCAAGGATAATTATCCTAAGGAGTTTACAGAAGCCACTCGCCACAGTCACAACTCCTACCCTGTTTATCGACGATGAGATTTTCAGCAATCAGTAACTGTTCGTGGACATCCTCTTGATAATCGATGGGTAATACCATACAATCCCTATTTACTGTCTAAATTTAATTGTCATATAAATGTAGAAATTTGTTCAACAATTCGAGCTGTCAAATATATATATAAATACATCTATAAAGGCCATGATAAAATTCTATATCAGTTGACTAATACGGGGCCTAATGAAATTGTTGATGAAATAAAAAATTTTGTTTGTGCAAGATGGGTCTCTCCCCCTGAAGCAATGTGGAGAATCTATGCATTTGACTTAAATGAGGTACATCCATCAGTAATTTCTTTGCAACTTCATTTGGAGAATAAGCAATCAGTTACATTTGATGAAAACCAATCGTTGCAAAATGTAATCAGCAATCCATGTTCCTCACAGACAATGCTTACAGAATTCTTTAGCATGAATTGTTATGATGAATACGCCAAGCATTTGAATTGTTTATATATAGAGTTTCCTGAGTATTTTACTTGGAATGCACAATCAAAATATTGGAGTAGACGAAAAAGAGGAGAAATTATTGGTCGTATTTTAACTGCTCGCCCTACTGAAGGGGAGCGATACTATCTCAGAATGTTGTTAATGCATGTTAGGAAGCCTACTTCTTTCCAATATCTAAAGGTTGTCAATGGATACGTATGTCAAACATTTAAAGAAGCTGCAAATTTACTTGGCCTATTGCATTCTGACAATGCTGCTGAACTTTGCTTACAGGAAGCTTCTGCATACCAGATGCCAAGTTCTCTTCGACAATTATTCGCATCTATATTAGCTTATTGTACTCCTACAAATCCACGAGAGTTATGGTTGAAATATGAAGATTTCTTATCTGAAGATATTCGACATAGTACATCACTTGAACCACACTTTGTACAAATACGAGTGCTCCAATTAATTGATTCGTGTCTTCGATCCATGGGAAAAAATATTGCTGATTATAATTTAACTGATATTCAAGTTGAACAGCTTTCGCAAGATTTAAGCACTAAGGAAATTGATGTTGAAAGAAGCATAGTAGTATCTGACGAAGATCTTCGTGCATTGCATCAGTTAAACTTGGACCAGAAATCAGCATTTGACAAGATTATGCATGCCATTGACAATAATATCTCATGTGCATTTTTCTTAGATGGTCCAGGTGGAACTGGAAAAACTTTCTTATACAGAGCTCTCCTTGCAGCAATACGATCAAAAGGATGCATAGCACTAGCAACTGCAACATCTGGAGTTGCAGCTTCAATTTTACCTGGTGGCCGTACAGCACATTCGAGGTTTAAAATCCCATTACAAGATAGTGATACAGCAATTTGCAATATTGGAAAGCAAAGTGCTATTGCTAAGTTAATAAGAGATGCAAAAGTAATTATTTGGGATGAAGCAAGCATGGCAAAGCGTAGCTCAATAGAAAAATTTGATGAAGCATTAAAAGATATCATGAATAAAGATGCCATATTTGGTGGTAAGATCATTGTTTTTGGTGGTGATTTCCGACAAACATTACCAGTGATCACCAAAGGGTGTAAAGAAGAAATTGTCAATGCTAGCTTAGTAAAGTCTCCTATTTGGCCGTACCTCATAAAACTAAAACTATCACAAAATATGCGAGCTCAGTTAGATCCTCATTTCTCTGATTACCTTCTTCGAATTGGCAACGGTACTGAAGCAACAAATAAAAATGATGAGGTGCGTATACCTGAAGGAATGAATCTGGTATTTGTCGATGACGATTCATCAGTTGATGCGTTGATTGCTGCAGTATTTCCAGATTTATGTGCTTTTGCTCATTGTCCAGATTCTATTGTTAACCATGCAATTTTAATGACAAGAAATGATTTTGTATTTGAAATTAATAACAAAATCATTGCTAAATTTCCAGGTACAGAACAGGTATATCTAAGCCATGATAAAATCCTTGAGTCATGCCATCAATCAGAGACAGAAGATTTTTTGAATTCATTAACGCCTAAGAGCTTGCCTCTTCACAGGCTGATATTAAAAATTAATTGTCCTGTCATGTTGATTCGAAATATTAACCCTGCTGAAGGCCTATCTAATGGCACCCGACTCGTATGCAAAGAATTTGGAAACAACGTAATACACGCAGAGATTGCTTGTGGCTCTTTTAGAGGTAAGCATGTTTTCATTCCTCGAATTCCTTTGCAAAGTTCTGATGATGATTTCTGTTCAACCCCTTTTAAAAGAACACAGTTCCCTCTAAGGCTTTGTTTTGCAATGACGATTAATAAAGCACAAGGACAAACATTGGATTATGTTGGTCTATATCTAAAAGAACCTGTTTTCTCCCACGGCCAATTATATGTAGCATTATCACGTGGCAGAGCATCAAGTAATGTCAAAGTATTAATACGACCTCCAAATCTATTTTCCAAAATAACAAATCTTACAAAAAATGTAGTGTACAACCAGATCATATCTGCAGTCATGAATGATTAATGAGTTCCTGCCAGTGGTTCATGTTTACATACAATAAGGTATGTTGTCTAACTCTTTATGTAAATTTCGATTTCAGATTTATCTTATTTATACCTCCTCACTGCTTTCTTTTTTAAGATTTGGAATTTCCAAGTTTCATGCATGAATGAAGAATATATTCTATGCTAAACCCAAAACCAGGAACTTCAGCAAATGTCTGGCCCTGTACTTTGAATACTAGGTTGACGTAGTTTTTTCCCCTACTTATCTTTCTCAATTTGATTGTTATTCCTTTTTGACGTAAAGTTTTTTTTTTTGGATTTTCGAATGTGGGTTTTCTTTCATTTTACACAACCAAGTATGAATTGATTGAAATTATATGAAAGTTTAAATTTTACCATGCCAGGCAGTGTTGCACATAGAAATTTATTAGTTTGTTTAAGAGAATATTGATTCTTGGACTCCAGAAAAAATTGAATCAATTTTAAAGATTTGATTATTGGTCTTGATAGCAACTCAATTGGTAAGTTGTTTGGACAACTCTGTATTCGATTGTCTGATGGGTCTCTGTTTGAGTGTAGCTTGGTTTGTTAACTTTGGAGATTGTATATGAGTATTGAAAGTTGATAACTCTGGACAAATTGCAGGTTAGTCGCCTGTTGGAGTTGATTGTTCACAGTCTTTACAGCCACAAAGAAGTTTTTCTTCGACAACTGGCAAACTCTTTCATCAAGTTGATTCTGATGTTAGAAAAGCATATTGCAACTGTTTAATTGATCTTTGTATCAAGATTGATGTCTTCGAGAAAGCTTGTGAACTGCTACACCTCGGCCTTAAACTTGAGATTTATACTGATATACAATCTAGAAGTCCAACCCAATGGTCTTTACATTTAAAGAGTCCCTTGAAAGTGAGGAGGAGCTGCCTTCACTGCTTGGGATCAGCACTGGTCATGGAAAACATAAATATTCAGAGAAAAGTCTAGCAGGTGTTTTTGAGTCACGTCTGAAGGAACTGAATACTCCATTCCACGAGATACCTGACAAGGCGGGGTGGTTTTTGACGACAAAGATTGCAGCCACATCATGGTCGGAGTCTAGAAGCACTCCTAAGATAGTTGCTGCTTAAAGGTTGTTCTTTGTCTAGCTTACATTTTCAATACTAGCTTTTAATTTTGATAAAAGATCTGGGAAAAGGATATAACCTATTTTGATTGTCTTTGTTTTTGTTAGTCTAAATCCCTCTCTAGATTAATTTTGTCATGGTAATGCCCAAAATGTAGTTGCTATCAGATGATTTTTCCAATTTCAATTGAGCTTATGGTGCAAGATTAAAGGATAACTACTCTTTAAGTATGCCTGGTAACATCTTATGGAAACAGCTTTAGAGGAAATCAAAATGGTGAGGGATTGACTTTGGACTTATGATAAATATTGCATTTAATAATTCATAAACATCTGCTAATTTTTTCACTAATAGGGATTTACCTAGGTAAATCAGGTGCTCAAATTCTTTGACTGATATTCATATCAGCATGAAACAAGTAACTGAAATTATTAAGTTATGTTTAAATTCCATATTCACTGAAGCCTCCAAAAAAGAGTTGATGTCACTCGGGTCTAAATTCCCAAATACCACATGTTTAGAATTTGCAAACTCATCTGCATGTTCTGTTTCTCTAACACATGGAAAAACCTCCTGAATCCTATCTACATTTAATTTCGCCCTATATCTTCATAGAGGTAGCATATGACTGACAATATGTTGTAAGAACAGGAGCCTGGATCAGTTTTCTCCTGTTCAAGAAATACTGGAATCCGGATGACCAAAGATGAACTTATAGATTCATTTTAAACTGAAATGCCTCTAAGCAAATGGCTTTAGCTGGTTGAAAGTTGCATCCTTTTCTATTCCTGCTGTTTTATAAGAATTCCTATGTTGAACTCTAGAGAAAGGATTTTAACCCCTATGTGAATTGCGAAGCCTTTATTGTGTTTAAGGTTTAGACATCGAGGGGCATGCTGCAGGGCTTCCAAAACATTCTGTAACATTCCAATTCCTCTCGTTTGGCAAGAATGGAAGACAATCAGAAAGAAAATTCACCAAATACAGAAGAAAAAAAAGGACAACCCAGCATAGTGTTGAAAAAGAAGTTGCTGCAATTTGGTTATGAAATTTCACTCCATTTTTTAGAAAGATGATGCTTTTGTTTTGAATTTAAACGTGATCTAAATGCCGAGTTACCTATTCAAAACCTTGCAACAAGTCATCTATATCCAGTTCACATCATTTCTAGAATATAAAAGAGGATGAGCAAATAAAGCAGACCACCAGAAGGTAGAGTAACTAAGGAAGGGACAGTTGAACAAGAAATGGCCAATTGGTACTGAGCTTTGTAAATTGTGACCTGAGTGCCCAATCCTTGTGGTAGTCCTGTGGAACCTAATCATTATTCAGTAACACTAGCTCAATCCAGAAAGCAAAAGACCTGAGCTAGAAATACTTCCTTTTGGATTGCAGGTTTTGATATAATTGTTAGAAAAAAGTAACACCATACTGTAGTATTCTATTGAAAAGTTAGTTCAGAGTTTTTTTGTCCTTGAATAAGTTTTTAGTCCAACTCTTGCTATTTTCTTTATCTATTTGCCTTGCAATGATTTACAATGCACTAAGAACGTTCATTGCTCCTGGTGACCTCAACACATGTAACACAAATGTGCTTACAATTTAGGCATACTTTGGCCCAGAGATATGTATTCTTGTCAAATTCTATCAGATATCAATGAATCAAGTAGTTAAGAATCAGGACTCCTGAGAAGCATAGACGGAACTATTTAACTTTCAAAAAAAAAAAAGAAACTAGAACATTATATTGCTGTATGAATCTTTATACAACTCTGATCTCGATTTTCAATAAATGAAAATGACTGTCAATATACACGATGCTTATGGGTACAACATGTATCAACTGATTACAGAGATAACATATTGTTAAACTTGTAGTTCACGCAAATGATTAGCTTGAGATTTGCATAGAGCCAACCAGGATCCAGAATTTGGTGAAGAACTACTCACAGTTTGTTTCCTTCCCCATCTATATTTGGCTAGAGAAATCAAAAACTCCCTTTATCGACATCGATGCTACTTCCACCATATCTCCACTAATCAGGAGAAACTCATCAGGTTGACGGACACCAGGCCCCTAAAGCTATTCAATCATTAGGTTCATGATTGTAATTTGCCTGAATAATGTTAGACAACTGCAAAAGTATTGGCTAATATGGAACAATGTTCTTCTTCTTCAAACTAAGCATTTCATTAATAAGCAATAAAGCTAAGATCCACTAACATAATAATAGTTACTGCTTGAGTAAAAAAACATATCATCTGCAATCAAAGAGCTTAAAAGTAACATTTTTCAGTAGTGGATCTTCCATGAGTTAATGTACAATGTTAACGTAGTTCTTTGAACTTCATGAAACAAAGGAACAATAAGAAGCGGCTAATAGAGATGTTTTTAGATTCCAATATACACATGCCTGTGTAACTATATAGGCATTTTGCTGAAATTGCAAAAATATTAGACATTCTGCATTAGTTTATTCTTCTTCACTTCCTAGATAAAGTGCAAACCAGATAAAAGCCTATTTTAGTGTCTAACCGCATTCTCTCATTGTTTAACAATAAAATGTAAAAGTAATAATTAAGACTATGATTTTATCTCCTCTTTTTCTTTTTATTCGGATATCAAATTATCTTCTTTTAAAAGGTCTCGTAATCAGTCCTGCTCTAGCAGTCAACACAGAGCTGGACCATCAGATTTGCAATCTTTCTCTCAATCATTAAAATCACGGTTTAGTGCAATATCAATGAAGTAGAACAGAACTTTGCTATGTGCTAGCGACAACTACTAATTAGTTTCATAACAATCTTTTAACTGATCTTTGCTAAATTCATTGTTAAAGGTACAGAATGTCTATTACCAAGAGCACAAGAGGTTGGAAAGAGAGATTGTTCTCGAGAAACAATACGACACAGAACCTTAGCGCTAAAGGTAGAAGACAAAATGATCCAGGTATTGCTACTATGACGAAACTGATCAGTCATCTGCAAACCAAAGATAGTAGAAAAAATACTATAGCTTCTGTATCAAATAGTGAAGAATATAGCCCAACTCCTCATCTAGCTAACCAACACCAACATGTCAATATATCAGCTAATCTGTCTTCATCTGAGGATGGTATTCAAGCTCCATGGACTGCAAATTCTACTTCAAATTAAATGTTAATTGAGAAAACTATCTACCGTTGCGCTTCATCTATGTGGCCTTTAATGAGTAAATAAAATGCAGACCAGATGTAAGCTTGTTTTAGTGTCTTATCTCGTTCTCTCATTGTTTTACAATATTAAAAGTAAATAACTACAGAACTCACAAAATTACAAAAGAAATATTCAGTGACTTGGCGTTTGATCTGATATTAATAATAACTATGCTAATGCATTGCTTTAACTGCAGAAACATAAAACTCAAAATCACAAAATAGATACTTTAAAAACGAAAACCTTTCTGATGCATTCCACTTCTCTTACATTAAGTATCATGTTAATTATTCAGTTTTGCTTAGATAAACAACGCACTGGCAAAGATACTTTTACACAGCTAATTCACTTATTCCAAAACGCAAGGAAAAAACTTAATTCATCACATAGCAACATACCAGTTTATCAACTCAGAAACTTCAACAATATATCAGAGTTAAACACCTGTGTCTTCTATAATGCTACCTGTATGATGAAAGCCATATCCAGATGTCCTTTGTAATGTGTCATGCTTCTTTCTAATTTTACTGCATGCCACGCGTAAAAACTAATTGCTAGGTGTAACATGTAATCTCTATTTGGTATGCATGGTTTCAATGATTACACCGTTTCTCTGGCACCTTCTAATCACATGCAATCACATGCTGTCTCCCATTCACAATGTATCAGACCAAATCCATACCAGTTTTAAGTTACTATCGCGTATCACTCACTCGACTACTCTTACTCATTGTATATATAAATCAATTCTATTTCAATAGATACATCTTATTAACTCGCAGAGACTATCAAACTGCTTCTTGTGCTTTTGAATCTTTGCTCTTCGATCTATCCAGGTAACTTCACTCTTAGCTATCTTTACAGTGCATCCAAAAAAACTGTTCTAAGTAAAACTAAGTCCTTTGCATGCATCTTACATAAGATCTTTTCTCTGTTAATCAAATACTTGATATATTTCGTTGCCCTTGTTTCATACACTGATATATAGAAGCATTTAACATCTTCAATTTATATAAATACTTTAGACAGAAGCTTCTTACTTATTACTTAATTTTACTTTGCTTCCTGTGTTTTCAGTATCGACATGGAAAAAAAATGCGTTCTAATACCAGAGTTGACAGATACAAATTCCAATTGGTTTGCTAAGCTCATCGTGATAGAAAAGAGCGCAATTCGTTATAGCAAAGAAGATGGAAGGCCATACCAGAAATTAGTGTTTGCTGATGCTATGGTAAGGAATATCAAATCAAGTAAATTATCTTTCATTCGGCATAAGCATTTATACATACAATCACTCATTACATATCTTCAATTTTTAAATGCAGAGAAACACCATCCAAGCAACTATTTTCGAAAGAGACATTCAAGATATCGAGCCAATTCTTCAGCTTTATTCCACCTACTACATCGGCAATGCTTGGATCACAAAAATAAGCATCCCATTTTATCTTGCATCTTCACCATATCAGATGACAATCTCTAAAAGAACATTTATTCAAGCTGTTTCAGCACAGGATGCACTGCCCTCTGATTATTGCTATGAACTAACATCCTTTACACAGCTGCATAATTACATTGGCGATTATTCAGCAAGAATAAGTATAACCTTTGTCTAACGTGTTACACTGCCTTTTAAAAAACATCCAGTCTAAATACAGTTTATCTCTGATGCACAGATATCCTCTGTGCTGTCGTGCATGCACTGCCTCCTCGCTTAGTGCCAAGAGGAAAACGATATGTGCCAATCCAAGAATTTGCTGTTGTCAATGAAGAGTACTTACCAATACTAACTGAAAATTATTCTTTACTATATGTGATCAATTCATAATATTTACAGCTTTATATATACAGAAAACAACCGATGACTTTTACAATGTGGGAAGAATTCTTATCTGTGGAAGGATCGCAGTTAAAAGCCATGGTACCTCAGCAGCCTATCATCTTATTGGCTAGACCAAAAGTGAACTCCTATCACAGTAAGCATATTATCTTCGAAAAAAAACTTGCAATTACATGCAGTTATCACACGTGTTTATAATCTACATTATTATTTACATTTACTTGCAGCAATTTCTTTGGGAACCCAGGCAACCACTATCATATTGTTCAATCCAGAAATCCCCCAAGCTACAGCTCTGAGAAACTGGTAATTCCATTACTTTAAATTACATACTACTCACATGAACAAAATTCATAAGCTCAGCTTGTATACAGGATGAAGGAAAATAGCTGCTACATACAAACAATAATCAAGGAAAGGCTATATGAAAAAACAAATCAAATTATCCATCCACCAACTGCTGCACAACTACGAGAAATAGCAACAATTCCCACGATGGCTGAACATGTAAGTGTCAATCATTCTATTATTAATCATTTCCAGATAAAATCGCCATTATCTAACATATATGGTATGAAACCACAGACCAGGCCATTTTGGATAAAAGCTCAGATTCGTATCTCAATAACAAACACGCGCTTTTACTACTTGAGTTGTCCAAAGCCTGATTGCTCAAAACCAACAGGAGCTGATATTGATACAGAATTCAAATGTTTTTACTGCCATATCACTTACCAAAAACCATTACCCAGGTTCGCATTTAATATCTGTGCTTTATCAATTACAATTGAATTTTCTTAGTATTCTAATATTAAGCTTAACTTAACAATTTGGTGCAATGACAGGCTTCGTTTTGAAATTCAGCTCTTTGACGGCACAAGCATTTTATCAGCATTAATTGAAGACAAATATGCATTTTATCAGCATTAATTGAAGACAAATATGCAGAGTCTCTTCTTCAAATGCCGGCCGAACAAATCATCAATATGCAAAAGATACATGAGCATATCAACATCCAACAAATCAATAATAACTTACAAGATACCCACTTCTATGTCCAGTTACGAAATACTATTCGACCATCAGATATACTTCAGTCCGCACGATACAGTGTTGTTGCTTATCTAGCAATCCCTCCTACCTCAAACACTACTCATCTAACTCCTGATAACACTAATCCTCAGATTGCAACTGCGACCAACTTGGCCAGCCCAAGCACATCCCAAAAACCTACACATCAGCCACCAATCGATACCATTAACGATGAACAAATTGCCTCAACTAAGCAAGAAGCAATACAAAAATACCCCTCTGAGGCAGCTGAGGAAGCCAGCAACAAACGTGCAAAGCCATAAAGACCTCAGCACCTTTTAAATATCTCACCCAACACCACTTCTATCATTTTTTCTCAGCCTTGCCATTTGACCCATCACACCTTCTATCATTTTTGCTCAACCCTACTATCGACACTGTATATATAACCAGTCACAGCAGCATTGCATATGACTAATGTATGACCTGCTTCGACGTCTTTTGTATCTAAGACATAGTATGTACATATAAAAGCACTTAGTTTAGCAGAACCACTTTTGAAAATATCTTACTCTTGTAAATAAAATATATATAAGATATAACTACTTATTCTATTCCTACTCAAATTCGCACATACACTGCCTAGATTTTGATTCCTTATTCTGTACTTTGATTTCTTATTCTTATACGCAGTCATACCACACCAGCATAATTCAGTTATAGCCACATAAACGTTAAGCAAACTACCACAAGAAAATGTCTAAAATTTCCTTATAAAAACAATCAAATAGTTCGCTGAAAACTATTTCTTAGAAAAGCAAACTTATCTTCAACAATACCAAAACTACAACTATACACAAAGCACTCTTAGATACTACAAATTATAATACTAACACCAAAACCCTGGCTATGTCAAAACTACTCTTCAATACTAGCAATTATAACACCAACACGAATGAAATAACCATAATAACATGACACACCAAAACTACGGATCAGCCTAAACCACAGGCAATGCCAAAGATACTTGATTTTTGTTGCTCAAAAGCCAGCATCGCCAACAAATGTATCATACCAATGCCTTAGCTGATGAGCCACAAACAAATTAGGATTATACATAATAATTGTAATTGCCTGAGTTCCGATAGAAAGACCTGCAAAGGAAAAAAAAAAACCTACATTAACAAAATTTTAAACATAACCATAAATAAATAGTACAAAGCTAAAATCAAACCCATATACCATGAAGACGACTGATACGCGGACGACAAATCATAACAATTGGTTGCTCGCCAACGAGTTCAACTAAATGCATACCATCACTGTCAAAATAATCATCCCATACTGAAAACACTATTGGTATCCTCCTGCCAAAATTATATACACACTAAAATTAGACAAACGCATTTTTAAAAAATATAACTGTAACTATATTAATTGACCATACAAAAACTAATAACATACTCTTCATTCAAAATAATAAACTCTTGCAAACAAACATGTCTATCTCCAATGGCATAAAATGTTGCCGGACCAGCATAAACAACTACTCCAAGCAAAGCTATAACATCAAAATGACAAATTAGTGTATATTCGCATTAATAACACTTAAACTTACTAATACACCAAAACCAAAAAACCAAAAAAAGAACTTATACTTATTCTTGCATCTGGATTAGCTGTTAAAGAATCCAAATCGCAAAAACGAGTTAACTCATAGAAATTTTCAACCGATAGCACATGCTCAGGTGAAACGCGATTAATCACAGTATTATGTGATATAACAATCTCGTATGGAACCATCCCAATCTGCATTCGTTGACTACGCAAACGCTGTATAGTAGCATTTTGAATATAATATGTTCCATGCAACTCCAATGCACAGTCCATAGCATCCAGATCAGATAAATATGTCACTCCTTGAATTGTATCGCCCTGAAAAAGAAAAAAACAACTATTATCTATATCAACAAAACAAAAATGCAATAAAACTTACAAAACAAATCTAACAAACACTTACAGAAGCATCGGCAAAAACAACTCGGAAAAACATTCGGCTGCAATTCCGTACTCGCTGAAATCTACTCTTTTCTACAACAACTAATTTAGCAATCCATCCTCGAACTCGATCATTCAATGCAAGAACACTAACACACTGCGACTCCATTCAACTAAAAAAAGCGCACTTTGCAAATATAAATTGCTACCTAACAAACTAAAAATATATCACACATATACACTCTCAAAAAACAATGATCCATATATATAGTAGCAAGAAATTGGCCACGTACAAAGAAAAGCAACGCTACTTGGCAAACCTTTCCTGACACAATTAACGCATGAAAAACAGGTAGCAATCCTACTCATGTAAACTACAAACCAAACACTACAAACGCATGTAAACAACACCTGGCTAATGCCAGTACCAACCACCGCCACAACCAAACTTTCCTTTACCTGCTTTTCTTACCGACTGAACAATTCTTGGCTGCCTACTTCATATCATAGTTTTGCTAGAAATTCACTTCTGTTCACGTGGAGATCTTGAATGGAAACACTTTAGAGCAGTGGCGAAGCTAGGAATTAACTTTGGAGGAGGCGAGTCTATAGCAATGAAAGTAAAATATATTTACAAAAAAAATAATGTGAACATATATATCACAAGATTAGAAACTTGGGGGGGCAAAGTGAATTTTTTGATCAATTTTTAGGGGGGCAAAACATAATAATAAAAATTGTTTTACTTAGAAATTTTTTTTTAACAACTGGAGGGGGGGCGGTTGCCCCCCCTGGCCCCCCCTTCCCTCCGCCCCTGCTTTAGAGGTCACCAATTTCCTTTCATTTTGGCAGTTCTTGTTTGAAAATATTCTATCGCATCTACCATTTTAGCAAATGATACGTTACCTATTTCTTCTATAAAGTTATCTTTTTATCCTATACTCCTATGCCTTACAATAGAAAATTACAAAATTTGAAAAAAATTGGCACCCGTATTGAAAACCTTGCAATGCCACTTCTGAGGTGCTTCCATCATTTTAGCACTCTTTTTACTTGTATTAAAACTTTTGATTCATAATGAAGATTATCACTAAATCTATTCATCAATATTTCCATTCCCCATGCACATACACAAACAATATATCTAACAAATCCTATTGTAGTAAATTAATTACTCTACAAAGCACCACCACAACCTAACTTTCCTTGCTTTTCTTACCGAGTTTTGCTGAAAATTCACTGCTGACTGCGAGGCTCTCTTCCATGGGAACACTTAGGCACTCACCAATTTCTTCTCGTTTTGGCCACTATATCTAACAAATCCTATTGTAGTACATTAATTACTCCTCTCACACTCCAATTTTCCAGACTAATACCCATTATACGAAATTAAGAAATTCCAGCTACCTGACGCACAGTGTCAGGGCAAAAAAACTAGTATATAATAAAAGCGGGGGTTGGAGAATGAATAGTAAATTTTGGTCGAGCGGTTATCACGTAATTTTCAGCAACTTTGATGGCTTTTGTATTTGTTTGGTCTTGTTGGCTTTTCGGCAACCCCATTTGCATCAGTCTTTGGCAGTTCCTTATGTCATTAGAATTAGCCTTAGTTAGTCCTTCATTTTTCGCTAATGCCATTTCCTGTTTCTGCCTTGCTCAGGAGACCGAAAGATGCATGTTATAGTTGTGTGGTTTCTTTGTAATTTATTTGTACTTTGTTCCTCTTTGTTTGCATCATTTTTGCCTATTGTGATCCGCAGAGACAGGCCATCTTAGCTATTCTTGAGTATTAGTTTAGCCTTAGGTTTGTCTTATTTTTCAGTTATGCCATTCCTTTTTTCCTTCGTTCAAGCTGCATGCTATAGTTGCTTGATTGTTTGGTAATTTTGTTGTCTTCTGACCCTATTTTTTGTTGCCTCATTGTTCACTTTTATCGATGCCTCACTTTTTGTTTCTATTTCTACATGTTTCTTTGAAACCCACCTCTTCTTCGTTGGAAAATTGCCATTTTGACTTTGAGTAATCTACTGTTTTGGACTTTTGATTTGTTCATGTTATTTGGAAACCTATTACAGAGATGAGAATTCCCACACTTTCATTCCTCTTAATCATGATGCTTGTTAAATTTTTCCCATTTTTACTTTTATTCATGCTTATTTATATTCTTTTATTTTACTAAATATCGGATGCCTTTTATATTCTTTGTTGCCTACATTCTTTACATCTAACTATACAATCAATATATTTATGTGATTTAATGTTATTATATACCTTTTTATTTAGGCTCTTTAAGTTGGAATGTTGAATTTAGTGATATTTTTTACTTTTTAAACAAAATTTAAAAGTTAGTCTTGTATTTTTAGTAGAAAGTTAATTTTGTGGTTAATTATTTGCTTTTGAAGTATTCTATAAATGCACAATTTTGAGGAAATAATTAATAAATTATTGATAGCTTAACATGAAATAAAATTGTTAAGTGTTCTGTAAAGACACAATTATTGAGGAAATAATTAATAAATTATTATTGCCATTAGTGACTTTAAAAAATGAATTTTATTACTGTGACATGAAATAAAATTGTTTGAAAAAAAAATGAATGCATATATTGCAAAAAAATGAAATAAAATAGTGTTCTGTAAAATTGTTGAATGCAGTGGTTATTTAGCATGTTCAGGAGTAGCTTTTGACTGCACAATTCCTAAAAATTGAACAACAGAAAAAGAAAAAGAGAGAGAGAGAGAGAGAGAGACAAGTCCAACATTATTATTATCACAAATAACCAAAATCAGTTAAGGTGTTAAGGGTTTGGACTAAAAATGGTTTCTAATCCTACTACTTTTTAAAACATACAATTATAAAGATATATTAGTCTATAAATCCATATTTACTCTATATAATTATTACAAATTTTTAATGCCCTTGTTTTTATTCTTATTCTTTTCATTCTATAAAAAAGAAAAATTAGTTTGTTATTTACTAATAGCTTGGATATCTAATAACAATTGCAGGATAACCGCTCGACAAAAAAATAATGTTTATAGGGCAACTCTCACTTTTATATTGTTAAATATATATCCATATTTAATGTATATATATATAATTATTATAAAATTTTTGGCATATTCATTTTTCCTAATGGCTCAAAATTGCTCTAAATTGAAAAGCAATGTTGTATGCTATTTTTTTATTATTCTTTTAGTCAAACATGCAACATTAATTAGATTGTTTCTTACATTAAAAAAATTAAAGTACTGTGAATTTCAAAAACAATGTATAATACATGGATCTTAATGTGGATTAATGATCTAATATTAGTGAGCGGCATTTTACAAAAATATGAAAAACAAATAATTGTTGTGATTATATTGATTAAATGTTTTAATTTGTGCAAAAAAAAGGAAATAGGCCAATATTTATGGAATTTAGTGAGTAATAGATATATACATAAATATAGACGGGTATCTTTATAATTACCTCACATAGACCACATAATTTATACAAATCATACCACAGAAAAATGTCGACACTGCATTGTCTCAATTATAGTACTTTATTAACCATTATATTACAAAATATCCTCCATACTTCACAAACTATTAACACTATATTCACCCAACCAATTTACCGCACTATTATTTTATAATTCAAGTCAGACTTATAATAATTATATAACTCTCTGCGGTATAAGAAATATATTACGGCTAAAAATTAAGTAACTTAACACGGGAAATATTAGTCCTCCTGCGCATCGCGCAGGCCGTCTCACTAGTATATATATAAAAGCAAATGCCACCGAAAAAGTTTTGCAAATCAGACAACATATTGCACAGGTTACTGTATTGAGTATTCCGCCACAGCCAACTGAAATTAAATGGCTTACAAAATCCTCCCACATGGTATATGCAAACACTCCCACTGCTTTGCTTTCCTCTCCCAGGTGTCACCCTCTAGTTTTGCATGGCAAGCCAGCCCAGTGACCACCGCCGATAAATAACCAACAATTGAAAAATGTAGAAACACCACTGCTTCATCCTTCAATCCTTAGTAGCTAGGTGCTCAAGCCTTTTCTTTAAGTCTTTAGCCCCTTTTCCTCTCCAACATTTTTGCTGATAAGTTTCTTGTTTCGGTGTCTAAAGTGCTCGTTGGCGGGTTCAACATCATGGCTGTGCATAGGATTGCTTTTGGTGTCATGTGGTTGGTGCTGCTTCAGCTAATTACACTGCCCTTTGTTAGCATGTCTATAAGAAGCAGAGCAACAGGGGGTCCATTTGGACATCGGGTTTGGGACCCCTTAATCCGGTCACCGGTGGATGACCCTGATAAACCTGAAGCCGAAGAAAATGAAGGTATTAGGTGGGCTATTCTTGTTGCTGGCTCAAATGGGTTCGCAAATTACCGCCATCAGGTAAAATATGCCAAGAACCTTACTCCAAGATTTTTTATTTAGTGAACATTTACTGGAGTGGTAATTTTAACTTGTAGTATCAATTGTAAATCAATGTGGAAATAGTACACGGTCAAGTTTGTGTTGGTTTATATCTTGGGTGAAGTTGAAGATCGACATTGATTGAGGAGTCAAGTTCATATCCCGGCCCACATTTTCTGGAGAAATAGAAAAAGAAATAGTAATTGCATGATCTGTACAGTTTTGATAATTATCACGGTTAATGATGTCCTTTGAAGATTAGGCTATAAGCCAAAGATTTCGTCAATTTCTAACTTTTAACTCGAGCATGGTTTTTGATCTGATGCAGTCGGACATCTGTCATGCATACCAAATACTGAAAAGAGGGGGATTGAAGGATGAGAATATTGTGGTGTTTATGTATGATGATATCGCCAATAACAAGTTGAATCCAAGGCCTGGCATCATAATCAATCGGCCGGATGGAGATGATGTTTACGCCGGTGTTCCAAAGGTAAATTATGATCAGACAGCGGTCTTGTCAATTTGTCATTGTTGCCTTACTGTCCCATAAAAGAATTAAAGCACCAGGGCTGTTACACTAATTTTATCAAAGGTGAAATGTTTCAACATCCATTAGGAGCAGCAAGAATATTGTTATTATTTCAAGAACTCAGGATACTTGTGGCCACTTTACAAACTATGGGATTGATGAGATTTTAATTGTTGTATTCTGCTTTTCACTAGTTATAGCATCACAGTTGCCTTAATGACAATATAGAACTCATTCACCTGTGAACTGATCACGAGGGAGGAGGTAGGAAACTGAACTTGAGAGTACATGTCAAGACTTGATTGCAGACTTTACCAAGCCGAAGTCGTTTACAAATTGTGCAAAAGAAGAGGAAGAAAGTAAATGGTTTTATTCTTCTTTGGTTCATTTTGTTCTGAACATAAGCCATCCTCTTGCCTTTGAAGACCGCTCCAGATAATTGAGAAGGGAAAGAAAAGTAGTTGTGGGCCATGTCAATCTGCGAAATTTGGATGTTCAAATTAGTGTATTGATGTCTTTTTCACATTGAACTAAACTCTTAGTCTTGTGTGTTTCCATAACAGATGAAGTGTGGCAATTGACAAACTAATGAGTGCGCTACTCTGTCAAAGGTAACAAACTTGCATTGAGTGTTAGTGAGAAGGAATTATATCGTTGCTCCACTTCTTAAGAAGATGAAAAGCAAGGACCTTTTGCCTTCCACATTTCAAGCTTTGGTGAATGAATGATGGAGTTGCTCATTGATCCTGGCTTGCACATAATTCTTGTGCCAAATTCGTGTGATTGAAGTAGTACTACTTAATTAGGAACATCAAGACTCCTGCTGCTTTCTTCTCGCTTTATATGGTGTTGCTGATCTTACTTCAGCAATTGTCCATGCCAATGCAAATGTACTAGTTAATTCATAGGGATAATATTTAGAGTAAAAGTGAAACTTCAATCAGGGTTCTGCATTAAGCCTTTATAAGGTTGCTCATTCATTTTTTCTTGTCATCTTCTGTAAATTATGTGGAGAAGCCTGGTAATTAGGTTTGAGCTTGATTAGCAAAAGTTGACTTGGATGTTGACGCTGGAGACTTGGACTAGGAAGGGGCATGCATGATTTTTCAGCTAAATGTAAATTAGCATTCGTAGTCAATCACGTCATCTTTGTCTTGACAGGATTACACTGGTAAGGCGGTGAGTCCTGAGAATTTATTTGCTGTGATCCTCGGAGATAAGAGTGCTGTGAAAGGTGGAAATGGGAAGGTTGTCAACAGTTCAAGTAATGACAGAATATTTATTTATTATTCTGATCATGGAGGCCCTGGAATCCTTGGTGAGTTTGAAACCCATCGTTTGGTTTTGTGTTGTTTTGCATGTTTACATGGAATTATATCTCAACTAATGAATCCTCTAAGCCTCCAAGCCCTGAACTGACGAGATATTTTAGTTTTTTAAATTCATCAGTCAATGTAATGTGAGACTAACTTAAGATATTAACTTCCTCTCTTTCTGACAGGGATGCCACAAAATCCTTACCTCTATGGCAAAGACTTCGTAGAGGTATTGAAAAAGAAACATGCATCAGGAACTTACAAAGAAATGGTAGAACTTCACGTCGTATCTCCCTAATTTCATGTCTTTGACTACCATGATTAGAAATGTATTACAAGCATTCCCCTGTATCTGTAGGTTATATACGTTGAAGCGTGTGAAAGTGGGAGTTTTTTTGAAGGTCTGATGCCTGAAAATCTGAACATCTATGTGACAACAGCATCCAATGCAGAGGAGAGTAGCTATGCAACATACTGTCCTGATATGGACCCATCACCCCCAGAACATTTTCCATGCTTGGGGGATCTCTATAGCGTTGCCTGGATGGAAGACAGGTATGTTGCGTTTACCCTGGGTTTTGCCGATCCAGTTTAGTCATTGGATTGTGTTTTTTGACTTTAATTCCTGATTCTGCTTTAGTGGACCAAGAACTGGATCTCCTCCTATATTTGACAAATTGTTACTTTTGTAGTCCTTTTGCACTTAATAGACAATTCAAAGCTGGAGTTTAGGTTCTACCTATTTTTCTTTTCTTTTGGTAACAAATGCAGTGAATCTCACAACCTGAAGAGAGAGACAATAGTACAGCAGTACAAGAAGGTAAGAAGTTTTTCATTTTTTTGAATGTTGTCTGATTATTTGCTTTTAGAGCTCCACCATCCATTCAAAATGTAAATTCTGTAGGTCAAGGAGAGGACTTCCAACCACCACACCTATGATGCTGGTTCTCATGTGATGGAGTATGGGAACAAGAGCATTCACGCTGAAAAGCTTTACTTGTACCAGGGCTTTGATCCGGCCACCGAGAATTACCCTGCAAACCCAATAGACATTCACCCTCGTATGGGTGTGGTTAACCAGAGAAGTGCAGATCTTGTCTTCATGTGGGATAAGGTGAGCTTATATCTGCTTCTGTTTCCATTGCAAGAGTTAGTTGATAACAATTAGCACTCAATTCTTTCCGAGTTGCCAGAGAATGATACAAAGCTTAAAATGGCATAACAATCGAATAGGAGAAAGCTGCCTATGTCAAACTCCTAAAATTTAGCATGCTTTGATTTGAATCATATTCAGACACGTCCTCCAAAAGAATGTCTTTTTTGTTTTGATTTCCCATTTACAACGTGACCTGTGGCGTTTAAGATCGAAACACTATTCTCCTAGCTGACGTAGAAAACTGCCTTTCTTGACAGTACAAGAAAATGGAAGATGGTTCTGCAGAAAAAGGGGAGCTGCTTAAGCAAATTACCAACACAATGCTTCACAGAAATCATTTGGACGGAAGCATGGACATTATCGGAGCTTTCCTGTTTGGTCCGGAGAAGGGTTCTGCAGTTCTTAATCACGTTAGGCGACGTGGTCTTCCCATTGTTGATGACTGGGATTGTCTAAAGTCATCGGTTAGTACTAGACCATAGTTTCGCTTGATTAAGTCAATTAAAACCCAAATGTCCATTCTGGTATTGAAGTTTGCACTCTGGTCGCCAGGTTCGCATCTTTGAGACACATTGTGGCTCATTAACACAGTATGGCATGAAACACATGCGAGCATTTGCAAACATTTGCAACCGCGGAGTCAGCCGAGCTGCTTTGGAGGAGGCTTGTGAAGCAGCATGTACTGGCCATGACCTGGGGCAGTGGGATCCTGCAAAACGTGGCTTTAGTGCTTGATTAAAAGGGCTATAGTGGGCATGTACCCTCCCTGTTACATACATTTTGCTCTAATGCCAGTATAAAAGGTTTCTGCATGAGTTCTTGAAACTTAATTACCCTCCCTATCTCCTCTGTCCAAATTCATTGGTTGTATCTATCAGGTCTGTAAATCGTTTCCCTTAAAAAGTTGTTCTTCTCAGAAAACATTATACATGGATGGTGCTGCAGGTTCCATAGTCGGTTCTGTGCACTTCAAAAGTTGACGGGATGAACTGAATATAACTAATAACAATAGCAAAGAGTACTTGACAATTGACAATCACACGACTATGGGGTCACTTTTGATTCTTTGAATAATTGGGCAGATAACTTGTCCTTGCCAGATAAGTAATTCCCCCCTTAGGAGGTAGCTACCGTTTCTAGTATTTGGTGGCAATAATTGCAATTGAACAACAATTACCTCTTTCTCGAAAAGTTTTAACCTCATCATACTACCAGAACGAAGTTGTAATGCGAGAATAAGACAGACACAATTTACCCTTTTCAAGTTCAAAACTTTAAATGTAATTAATCTTGATTATAGGAGGTAAATTTTTGACAAAATTGCTGTGCCATATAAATTTGAGCAATGACTTCAAACTTCAAAATCTCTAACGTTAACCAAAGATGATGACATTCTACCTGGCAAGTTGGTTTTAGAATTTCATAAGAACAAACTTCATTGAGGACCGACCAGCACAAGAAAATTTCTTTAACTGATGTCTCAAAATGTTAATGTTTAGTTGAGTGCCGCTATGCTGTCACTATAGTTACTCTTTTTGGTCGGACATGCCACTAAACTGATGCATAGCAGTGATGTACTAGCCACACGTTTCAACTAAAAACCTTGGCATTTCATCGACTCTGAAATGACTGCCACTAATTAGTAATTACACTTCCTTCTTATGGTGCGGTTCAGACTTGGGGGCAGAGGATGAAAGATGGAGGAAAAGGGTTTCTTTTATCATCCAACTGCAAGCTGGATAATGAACTGCATTTTCTTAGCAACCATATTATACCCAGCTGCACAGATTGCTCAGCCTATAATTTGGTCATCAATCAGCCCAACTTGCTAAGAAAAAGTCCTTGTAGATTGAACAGTAATAAAAGAAGTTGCTCTGGTACAATCATAGATTACTGTAATATGTCATTACATTCCAACCCAAAATGTCAAATATTATAACAAACATATATATATATATATATATATATTTTTGGATAAGTAGTAAGCTTCCGCATTAATTGACCCATTGCTCTATTATTTTTCCTCCCAAGTGCCATTCTATTGTTCTGCCTATAAATAGGTAACTTTTATTCACTTCTCCAAGCTTTGGTTGCAACTTTCACTTTGATAATCCTCTAACCCCTTTAATTTTCTCTACAATTCTATTTTCTTGCTTGTTCATTTGGTTGGCCTTCTTTTGTGTTTGGTTGGCTTTTAAGGAATGGCTGTTTATGCCATCTTTTGGTGTCTTAGCATGGTGCTGCTTCAGATGGTGACAACACCTTCAATAGCTATGGGGAACAGACCAAGATTTCCTGACCAGGCTTGGAAGTCATTGAGTCCTCCACCTGCCGATGACCCTGAACCGGAAAAATGCCGAGGAAAAACATGGGCTGTCCTTGTGGCCGGTTCCAATGAGTGGTATAATTACCGCCATCAGGTAAAGAACCTTCATCGAGCAAAGATCACCTATGATCCATGGAAAGAATTTTTTGGGGATGGATCATTATCCGCATGGAAGATGGTCAATCCAAAGTGTTCATCCCATTTGGTTGGCTAGTAAATGCATTTGTTTTAGTTGTAGTAAGATGCTAATAATCCAACGTATTCAATGCATGTTATTTAATGGAAGTTTTACTTGTAACCACATGGAATTTTACAAAATAAAACGAAAATACATTAATTGGTTGGACAGACAAATGAGCCCGATTCCCATTTTTGCGATCCAAATTATTAATTAGCTCGGCATATCCAATATGGGATTTATTTGGCAAAATGGTTTCGATTAAGATTTATTTAAAACTCTCATTCAGCCCATTTCATTTCAACCTCAACACCCCAATCAAATCCAAGATCACACACAAATTTTTGTTTGACAATCGCACACATACTCACACACAAAAACACCTAGAAATGCACACACTATTATATTTGACACACAAGCTTCTTTCCTTGTCAAACAGGCTGACGTATGTCATGCATACCAAATACTGAAAAAAGGAGGCTTGAGAGATGAATACATTGTAGTGTTCATGTACGATGACATTGCCAATAATCAAGAAAATCCCAAGCCTGGTGTCATCATCAATCGACCTCATGGGGATGATGTTTACAAGGGTGTTCCCAAGGTAAAATTAAAAAAAAAAGTATTATAATTTATACACGGGTCTTATGAACTTTATATTAATCATTGGACCAACTCTTTTAAGTTCCTGAGTCCAGTTAACCACTTTGACTGAATAATCTTGACAGGACTATACAGGGAAGCATGCAAATACTCAGAATTTCTATGCTGTGCTCCTTGGAAATAAGACGGCTTTAACTGGTGGGAGTGGGAAGGTTGTCAACAGTACAAGTGAAGACAGAATATTCATCTTTTACTCTGATCATGGAGGCGCAGGAGTCCTTGGTGAGTTGGAAATCCATCCTTTACCTTTGTTCTATTTGGGATGTTGAGACAGGAATGGATTACATGCTTTCTTTGAAATTGACTTCGAGATTCATGGACCCTTTCTGTCCCAGAGATGCCCAGTGGTGATCCTCTTTATGCTAATGATTTCAACGAGGTATTGAAAAAGAAACATTCCTCAGGAACCTACAAAGAAATGGTAAATTCTTGTCACCATCTTATTAGTTTTGCGTCTTATCTCTGTACCTATGATAAGGATATGATGGCCTTAAGATGGTAGCGATGGTCATATAGGTCATATATGTTGAAGCATGTGAAAGTGGGAGTATCTTTGAAGGTCTATTGCCGCAAAATTTAAGAATTTATGCCACCACAGCTGCCAATGCACGAGAAGATAGCTATGCTACATACTGTTCTTTTCCTGACACGGCAACGGGAGAGCCAGAAGTTTTTCCATGCCTAGGGGATTTGTACAGTGTTTCCTGGATGGAGGACAGGTATAATTCGTAACCCACACCCACATTGACCTAATCAATCGAATTTTGTCATTACATTCTGCACTTCGACTAGGGTCAACCAGAATTTCATCATAGTCAATTCTTATGCAGCGAGTCTCACAACCTGAAAAAAGAGACAATAAAACGGCAGTTCAAGAAGGTGAGCAAGCATTTGAACTTTAGAATTGGATCGAAATACTTGCCTTTATCACTCCAATACAGGACAAGTTGTAAAGTTTTCTGTAGGTCAAGGAGAGGACTTCCGACAACCACACCTATATTGGTGGTTCTCATGTCACGGAATATGGGAACACGAGAATGCATGCTGAGAAGCTGTACTTGTACCATGGGTTCAATCCAGCCACCAAAAGCTTCCCTCCAAACGATACAGACTCCCCCGTCCACATGGCCGTTGTAGAGCAGAGAAGTGCGGATTTGTTCTTCCTGCGGAATCGGGTGAGCTCCTACTCTCTCTCTCTCTCTCTCTCTCTGTTTCCACCGTATGCTTGCAAGCCACAATCGATATTTGCTGGCAGATGGTGTAACTCTATTCAATCAGCCTCAGAACAAACACGGCTTGTTGTCTTGTCGACTCATAGGAAGACCCGGCATATAGCACAATGGACTCCTACTCTCTGTGTCTGCAAACGAATCTAGTTGCTCGCAAGTCAAAACTCAACTCGAACTCGATCAATATCGAGTTTGAGTCGAGTTCGAGTTGGTCAAATTGAACTCAAATTAAAAATATTATACGTAAAATTACATATATATCCATAATATTTTATTATTTATTAAGAAAAAAATATTATTTTATTTATTTTTTCGAGTTCGAGTTCGAGTTCAAGTTTTAAATTGACAGCTCGTCAAACTTGAGTTCGAATTCTGAGTTTGATAAAACTAAGTCAAGGCTCGACTTAATTAGATCAAAATTCGAATCAACTCGGCTCGTTTGCAGTCTCAGCCTAGTCCTACGATGATAAAATAACTGAACGTGACAATTAATCTCCTAATAACCTATGCTTGTGGACTTCATAGCGTTTTGACAATTAGAAAGAGTGTATTCAACCCGCTTGCATATGATATGTTCCTATTACTGGATCCAGTATCTGTCTTAGCTCTGATATGCAGAATGTCCTTCGTTCGCAGTACAAAAGAATGAAAGATGGCTCTGCAGAAAAGGTTAAGCTCCTCGAGCAAATTACCAACACGGAGAATTACAGAAAACATTTGGATGGGAGCGTAGATATCATTGGAGCTTCTCTGTTTGGTCAGGAAAGGAGTCCTTCAGTTCTTACTCATGTCAGGGCACCCGGTCTGCCTGTTGTTGATGACTGGGAATGTCTGAAGTCAATGGTAAGAAAATTCCAAATGTGTCTCCCAATGAAATATTGTTTGGATCTGGTGTTCAATTATGCATTTTGATTGCCAGGTTCGAGTTTTTGAGACGCACTGTGGTCCGTTAACCCAATACGGGATGAAACATATGCGGGCATTTGCAAACCTTTGCAACAGCAGAATCACCGTGTCTGCCATGGAGGCAGCTTGTAAGTCTGCATGCAAGGGTCATTACTTGGGGAGGTCGGATCCTGCAAAACGCCATATTAATGCCTGATCAAAGAAAGGCTTATAGGCGATACAATACTCTCGTAAAACACTTATATATTATCTTTAGATAATCAAAATCTCCCTTTAATCTCCTGAATTTAGTAGTGTGTCCTTTAATTTCCGAAGTGGCATGGTGTCGCAGAATCCCTTGGAGAGCTCGAAAATTCCAATAAGAACTCTAATTACAAGAGAAAAAATGATCCATTTCGATTGCAATAGGATATGCAAATTCGAATAAACATTTTTCCTGCTTATCTTGTCAAAGATAAGAACCACAGGACCACCATGCAGCTTTCATGAACATAACGCGCAGTTTTTGTCAACAGTTATGAGATAATCATCGTTGATCTAATCTTACATTCCTATGACGGGGTCACCAGTGCAGATAGTTCACATCGACCAGCAGTTCATATTAATCAGCTTTTGCGATTGGAGGGGTCCCTAGTAGGCTGATAAAGTCATATCAACACAGAAGTATGCTGCATGAGCTGATTAAACCGGCATTGGTGCAAGCGGACCACCGGCAGGAACGACAATTATGTGCATTTTGTACACGGCGTAACTTTGTTTGCACATGATGTAACTTACTTTTAATAACGTGTAACTTTAGAACAAAATTTTGTAGGTCCCACATATGTTAAAATCGAGATACAAGATAAAATTTGGACCGTACAATTTTTTTTGGCCAAGTCTTGGCCGTGAACTGTTCAAGGACGGTCCTTCTGATGACCGTCCCTACCCCATATCCGGTGCAAGAGCATCGCTGGCAACTTTACAGAGTCATAACAGGAATACTTCTTTTCGAGGAAGGTCTTGTCACTAAATATTGAAGCCGGCACTCAGTGAGAACACCTCAGTAATTTGGTTAAATTAGCATCATCTAGAGCCTGATAGGAAAGAAAAAATTCAAGACCACCAGAATAGAGAACTTAGAAATATGAGGTTTAACACTGAATTCCAAGGCTTTCTACGTATCAATAAAAGGCAAATAGCTGGCTTTGGAGAACCCCAGTTGAACATCCAATTCTGCTTGATAAAACGGTTCAGTACAGACCAGAATTGGAAAACCATTCAGAGTTCGAAATTTAAGAACTAAAATCTCAAGACTTTTGTAATTTAATCTTCAAAATCAAATTTCTTGCTTTGTCTAATTCAAATGAAAATCATAATTATCTCTATTGTTCATAACACCAAAGAGATGTTCGACATTTCATTTCCCTCCTAACAACATCTGGTCATCAGACAAAATCCCTGTAACTGGACATGACAGAATGCACTCTCAACCAAAGACAGTCCTTTTGTTTGGGCAGCCTGATGACTCCCCGGTTGAGGACAGCAACGGGTATTGGCGAATGCCATCCCCTAAAGATTGCCAGTAGTTATGGTCTCTGTATCTCGTGCAAATTAAGCAGCGGTTGTATTGGCTGCAAGAAGAACATAGCGCTTTAGCTGACTGAGTGTCAATCTCGCCACCTTTTACTGAACCAGATCAAAAGATTTGGGAGTCTTCCAGCATATTCTTGCAAGCTTATGCAATCCTGGTGATTATTCACGAGCTTTCAGCTCAATAAAAGTAATATTTTGTTATGACAAAGAACTAAACTTCATAAACAAGGACAATCAGAGGTAAGAATACTACCTCTTAACAATCTAGCATGGTAGCAAATCATATAACAGCAGGCATAAGATGCTCCGCTCATCCAGAAGATGTAAAGATCATAAACATCTCCTCATTGGAATCTCTTCAGTATCAGAAGTCAGAGGAGACTATACTCTCCTATTTGCTTTTTTTAACTTTCTCAAGCGGTCATTGGGATCTAAGAGAACTTCACGCTGCATTTCTTTCCAAAGCTCTTCAAATTGGTCATGAAATCCTTCCTGGAACCAATCCTGCAATTCTGAAAACAATTCCATACGTTTATCTTTCCACACTTGTCTTAACATAGAACGACTGTCAATTACTCTTCTTCCGCTCTTTAATTTACTCAACAGATTTCCCACTCGTTTAACACCTGATGCCTCTGGTCTCAATATGCTAGCTGGAGGTGCAGCCATGAATTTCCGGACAGACTTTAGGCATGGCAAAACTTGGCCGTCAAGCAAAGAAAAGGCAAATACAGCCACCCGATCCATATCATCTTTGATGGGTGAACCGTGAAGTGGAAGCTGCCATAGATGAGGACCGAAAATTGGAGTGACCCAATTGAAAACTAGGTCAGTTTGAGGGTCATAATATGGTTTTGGATCTGAATGAGGTGCAGAAAAACTGCACAAGGAATGAGCATATTTTACAAGCCATTCTGATTTCACACAAGTGGCCCCATGAATATATGGCCTCTTGGTATGCAGTAATTCACTGTACACCAAGAATTCAGGTGCGGACTTGGAAACAGATGACCAACGGTGGAGGAAAACTCTTTCTTTTACCATGCAAGCTTGATAGCGAACGGCATTGACTTTTCTATCTCCATCTGATAATCCTGAAGCACTTCTAGTCCGTTTAGCAACTCTATCAGCCCAACCTGCACAGATAGCTTGGCCTATAATTTCCTCTTCATTCAGAAACAGAGGATTTTTCCCTGAAGAAACCCTCCAAGCGCCTTCTACATCATCTACTCCCCCATGAATCCAGACAAAATCATGCTGCAAATCTGAGGAATTTGAGCTAAATACTAAGTGAAGAAGCTGCTTCCTCAGCTTGGACATTTCCTCCATCGTCTTTAAGTGCAAGAAATTATCACAGCAAAAGTCAACTGGATTTGCTGACAATTCGAAACATTGTAGAGCATAAGCTGTGGTCAAAACATCACTGGTAGGGTTAGAAAACTTAGCACGAGAATCCTTGGCAGCCTCTTTCATTTTCTTTTTCCGCTGTTTTTCTTCCCTGTCTAAAATTTTTCCATTTTCTCTAGTGCCTGCCTTCTCACCCTGTTTAAATTCATCCCCATCAGTGTGGTTTCCTCCAAATTGCATGCTGAAAGGGTTTGATAGGCTCAAAGCAGCAGCAGCTGCAACCGCATAACCCAGAACTAAATTTGCCCGGGCATAGTCATTCACATTTCGCATGATCTGAATTACCGTTAGGAGCATTCGGGAGTGCCGAGGACTCATAGGAAATCGTGCCATTGCTTTCCCCATACTAGTCATCCGCCCTTTGTTGTCAAGAGCTTCAAGCACCTTCAGGCAACGCTCTGCTTCAGCTACGGCCGTGGCTTCCGGAGGAGTTGGAAAAGGAAAGTTTGCAACCTAAATTTAAATGACGGTAAAAACGAGGGTGCTAGAAAGACAAAAACTGAACATGATTGTGCCAAAGAAATGAGGGTGCTAGAAAGACATAAACTGAATATGATTGTACCGAACAAAATGAGACCCTCATGAGTTAAAGCATTAAATAGCAATGGGTCAAGAATGGTTACAATTGGAAGAGCCAAGAGGGTGCGAAAAAATTTTTGGGGAAGGGGGAGATAAAAGAGAGGATGACAATAGACACAATAAAGAAAAAGGTAAGTTGACCTCAAGATCTAGCTTAGCTGGTAGGAACATTAATCAAGTGATAGTGAGACCCCTGGTTCGACTCACAAGCCCCCCCCCCTCCAAAATTCCCCCTTTTCCCTTGTAAGCTTCTCCCCTTCAACCGTTAAAAATTTTTTTAAAAAAGGTCATTTAAAGTTAGCACACAGATTGACAGGGGGAATTCCACATTACCACATTGCCTTGTTGAACTCAATGGATCCAACCTTAACTAAATGTAAGTCATGACAATACAATATATCCCAAATTGCAAACCAACCATTTTTTGACTTGAGTCTCAAATTCGAACCAAAATTTACCTTGCCAATATGCATTGATTTCATAAGGAGGACAACCCCATCAACAGGCACCTTTGAGATTTCAGCAGATGAGAAGTCAGGAAATATGTTACTAAAGACAGCAGAAGAATAAAGGCGGTAACAGTGCCCAGGCCCTGTTCTTCCTGCTCTTCCAGCACGCTGAGCAGCAGAAGCCTTACTAATCCACTGTATTTCATATGCTTCCATGCCATTTGAAGAGTTATACTTCTTTACTTTTTCTCTTCCAGTGTCAACAACATACTTAATACCTGGGATTGTCAAAGAGGTTTCAGCTACGTTAGTGGCAACAACGACCAGGCGTTCACCTTCCTTGACTGCTTCAAATACCCGAAGCTGTGCAGATGCTGGAAGCATTGCATAAAGAGGCAGAACAGATATTGGACCAGCAACAGGATCGTTTGTTATTTTCCCTGTATTTCCTGTTGTGGAACCAGATTCATCTACACCTCCTTGTGGTGCAACCGAACTCGTCTTTTGTCCCTCCAAGTCAGGGTCAAAAGTTCTTTTTCCGGCCAAAGCTTCAAAGGCTGCCTTCAATGAAGCAAGGCTTCCATTCTTTTGTAGAGTATTTGCAAGCTGACTGTCAGACTCCATAGACTCCTGATTGAACAAATTCTCATCTTGATTGGAGAATTCCAAATCACTGTCATCTTCCGAATCATGGGACGAATCTGATTCATTATCAGACACATCCTCATGATCCTCCTCATAAGAACTGAAACGGTCTGTTATGTCATGTCCGGAATCGTCATGACCTTCGAATGCTTCATTTATCTCCTTCATGTCATTTAACTCTCCTGGATTCTCACCAGACACTGAAGTCGAATCATTTTTTACTTTAGAAACTTTATCAACTATCTCCTTAGATGCTTTACGCAACTTCCGACAAAGGTACTCCACCTCCCTCTGCCCAGTCACAAATACAAGTATCCCACCAGGTGGCAGCCTCTTGTGAATTGACAAGACCTTTTTATACGCTTGGCCGACATAATCTATGACTTCAGTTCTCTTGGAGAAGTGTATAGTAACTGGATATTGTCTAGTTGGGACTTCTATTACAGGTGGAGGAACATGAAAAATTCGTTTGCCAGAAACAAAGTCCTCAACCCGCAAAGTAGCACTCATCAAAACTAATTTCAATGGGTATATCCTATTTTCCGGCTTTATATATTCTCCTGAAACAACCTTCTTCTCCTGCTCCTCAAATTCTCTCTGACATTAAAAAGTTACAAACTCCCCCGTAAGCAAAGAAAAAAAGACCACAAGTACCTTTACAACATTCTCATAGCCTCAGGTCAGATGGAAGATGGAAGGAAATGAATGCATGATAAATCTAAATAACTTTAATTACCTGCCGCTCTCGTATAACACGAGAAAGCATTCCTATGAGTATATCAGTGTTCAAGCTTCTCTCATGAGCCTCATCTAGTATAATGATAGAATAGCGTTTCAGTAAAAAATCACTCTGCAAC